GTTTTCGGATGGTTTTTTTTTTTTTTTTTTTTTTTTTTTTTTTTTGGCTAGGACCTTCGCTGGTCCTTGCGGCCGGCCCGCCCGAAAAAATAGAGTGACCCGAGTGGACCAGCTGGTAGCCTAGTCTGCCGCTGATTTCCTGATGTCAAACGCTGGCCATGAGAGATGAGGATACTCACAAATGTATTTAAAAAAAAAAGGGCACTGACAAAAAGTCACAAAAGTCAGTTTTTATGTGCAATATTGAATTGTGAATTTCAATTCGTTTCGCAGAATGCAGGTGAAGAGATGGCAAAGGCTATTACCAATCTGGAGAAGGAGGGGGCAGATTCTTACATCCTCGATCTCAGAAATAATCCAGTGAGTTTCCTACTTCCATCAATGACAGTTTTGTTGCAATCAATCGATTACTGCCTCCTCCTCCTCCTCCTCCTCCTCCTCCTCAGATATGTGGCTTCTCTTGTGTGGAGCAATTCCCTTTGATTCACCAACTTCCATAGTCTGCCAGTGCGAAGACCCCATTTAAAGAATTTTTTGGGACAGCTGCCGAAGTGCGGGATGGTAACAAAAATGGTGGAAATTTGGAAAACACATGGTGCTGCAACTTTGTTCACGATGAAACTGAAAATTGTTGGGGGAAAAAAAAAAAAACAATTGCACCCGGAATTTGAGCTCCGGCGAAAACTCCATAGGCAAAAAAAGTGGTCGAAGAGTTAGTTTGATTTAGGTCTCCTCAACCAGACGGCCTACGAATTCTGTATCGGGCCAAATTCCTGGCCAGATCCAGGCCGGTAGGCCCTACTGGGCATTTATTTCTCCTCCTTAAAAGCGTCATGCATTGATCTTGGGCCGCCTGTTGTATCACCCTGGCCGCTCTCTACCATGTTCTCCCCTGGGAATCGCACCCATTGCACACACTCTGCGAGTCTTGACTAGGTGGGAGTGCCTGTGTGTGTGTGTGTGTGTGTGTGTGTGTGTGTGTGTGTGTGTGTGTGCGTTTGATGGGAGGAGAAACCTCCACGATTGTATCGTTGCACAATGTGCTGACAAGTAGGATCATGAAGTCGTCAAAAGACACGGTCAGCAAAAAAAAAAAAAGAAAAAAAAAAAAGAAAGGACAAGCAAGGGAAACTGAAACTGTCCATGAACTGGGACAAGCGAGAGCGAAGTCCATTATACGAACTACAAGAAAGACGCAATCACTTCCCAAGTTCCCATTCGATTCCACGAAAACCTCCGTTCATAGTGCGAAACAGAAACTGATCGCAAGGCAGCAAGGGAAAAGACTGCAAAGCATAAGGCAGCAAAAGACATGGGCTGCAGCGCATGGCGGAGGATGGGTGAGGAAAGGCAGCGAGGGAAAGGCAGCGAGCCAAAAAAAGGCTGCAAGACAAAGGGCCTCGCTCCACTACTCTCCAGATGTACAAAAGATAAAAGAATATCGCACTCTATCTTCCCATGTTCTAGCGGACGATTCATTCTCCGCTTCTTCTTCTTCTTCTTCTTCTTCTTCTTCTTCTTCTTCTTCTTCTTCTTCTTCTTCTTCTTCTTCTTTCTACGCGTTGTACCCTTTTCTTCTTCTTCTTCTTCTTCTTCTTCTTCTTCTTCTTCTTCTTCTTCTTCTTCTTCTTCTTCTTCTTCTTCTTCTTCTTCTTCTTCTTCT